TTGGGGACAGGACTGTGGGAATGGGTACGAGCTCCCACGGGTGGTAGTAAAAATCAGGCGATTTCTCACCAAGCGGCTCCTGATGATGATAGCAACTCATTCAGAACTACTCCACAACCTTGAGAGGAAGCACACAGCAGGCTGGGAGGTGCTGTTTTTTTTTTTGCTCTGATCTCCTCCGGCTTCCCGTGCCAAAGACGATGCGAGCCTCCTCCAAAAAAGGCAGAAACATTTAGGCAGGGGCGCGCATCCTTAACCCGGCCCGTCCTGTCGCCTTGCAAGTCTGCTCAACAAATACCAGACACGTCAAGTGTGTACCTCACAGCGTCTGCTTTATAACAGGCCACTGTGTCACTGCTGAGGATGCAGCACAGAGAGAGTCCTCCACTTAACATACTGTACCCAGCAGTGTTTACAGAGGCCCTTCACTGCAATGCACATCTCATCCCTGATGGATGATGATGACTGGGGCAGGGCTCTTATGCCCGTCAGGGATAAACACAAACTCAGACACACACAAGGGTTGCATTCCTGAATGAAGCAACAGGAAATGTTATTACTCACAATGATATTCTTTCATGGTGCACAAAATAATCAGATACATCTTGAGATTCAGAAGCAACAGAAGGTATGCGGCCGGATTCAACCGGCAGTATACTCATAAGTCAGCGAGGTGTCACCAAGTTTAAAAAAAGCTAACTGCCATCCTTACCTGGCGGACAAGGCTGTTGGTGGTGGTGTCGGAGGAGGTGCTGCCATCTGAACCTTTAAATCGACCTTTTCTTCGACCTCCTTTGCTTTGAGACTACAGAGAACCAAAAGGGAAAGAGTGAAAGTGTTAAAGAACAGATACTGATCATTTATGTTTACCTTAATACAATACTTGCATTCACATGTACATGGAAATTGTCTGTAAAATGTCAAATAATAAGTTAATACTCAATAGAGAAGTTGCAACCAGATAATATTTGCTTGAAATATAAAATAAAAAAATGTAGGCTTGTCAACTAACAATAAACAAATGGGCTACTATTGGATACTTTTGAAATTTTTTCAGCAGCTATGGTCCCAACAAATTGTTTTCATGGCATCTAGAATCTGACAATTTTTAAATCTTTAATACCAGTAAACCAAATAGCTTTGGGCTGTTGGCAGATAGACAAAACAAGACATTTTATTAAATCCACAGGCGGAACTATTTGATGGCCATTTTGTAGACCAAGCCGTTTATCAGTAGATAAACATCTGTTAATGCAAACTGCTTCAGGCTCTCAGTGTACACATCAGCATGTGAGTGTTGTTTAAACAAAGGTTTGAAAGAAATGTGAAGCTATCTTTTTAGTGTGGACATAGTTGCTAGTTCAATTAGTTAAGTACAGCTTTCAGTGTTTTATTTGAAGTATAACATTATGACAGGGATCATAAAACAATGGTAATGATGTGGGTGGTCTCTTATATGCAAGCTGATATGATGAGGGGCTGGAAATGAAATGCACTCAGCTCAAGGGTTCATAAGGCATGTGTTGCTAGTAGCAACTGAAAAACAGGAATTCATTTTAAATCTGCCTTTTATTCCAGCCTGTTCCCCCGGGACATGTTAATCATGCAAATAAAAAGAGACGGTGAAATATTCTGACCGTTTCTCAAGAGCCAGTCATTTAGAACTGGTTGACCTGCAAAAAAGGAGCCTGGAGGAACAGGAAGAGCTTTAAAAAGTAAATAAATGCCAATACAGGTTGAATAATGCTCTTTATACTGCAATAGAAAGATAGTGCAAAACTCAATATTTCAAATGTGTTACATGAGGCTTTCTGAAAATCCAGCAGATTTTTTCATTCATTTTCAACATTTACTACCATTTTGAAGTTCGGGTGCTTTTTTGTTTTATGTTTATAAGTTCTACATTTCCCATGGAAACATTTTACTCCACTCCATCCTTTACACAATTTGATTTTTAAGTCCATTTTTCTTTCAGTTATTGAAGGGTGATAGTTACGAATTTGAACCATCCAAGTGTACATTTGTTAAAATAAGCTTTACTACGGCAGCTTAAATATAAAAAACCTGTCAGTAAATTGAAACATAGCTAAGCCTGATTGAAACAATATGACACTATGAAACACATACGTGTTTGTTTTAAACTTTGTTGTGTCATACAATTATTTCTCCTTGTAATGTGTCCATTCGAATAAAATGGTTTAAAGTAGTCTTACAATGACAATATAGCAAACTAATATTAAAATGAATATGTGTAGGTTAAAGATGACAACAGTTATTAGGCTTAAAAGACAAAAACAAATTCAAAGATAATAGCTTCGACGACAATTTTTAATTAAATAAATTACCGTTCAAAGTTCACGAGGTGACGTCCTCGCGGCTCACACAGCGGTACGTGATCAAAGCTTAATTAAGCAGCGACCAATGGGCGCGAGGAATTGCACAGGTGAGCTAAAATTGACCTGTTAATTTCGGATGCTAAGCTAACTTCAAACAACTGCAACACGCTTTTAAGTGAAAATGACGGTGCCACTAAAATTAGCATGAACTTACTTGTAACATCGGATGTTCCAGCGAATCCATGCGGTAGTCCAGAGGTGTTGCTGCTCTTGTTTTGGGAGTGTTGTTGACGACCATTACACCCTTTGAGAAAAGCAAACATTCAACAAAACCTCTCGGCTTGGACAGTGGCCCCAGCTATGTCCAATATTAAAGATAAACCGCATTTTAAAAATACTGAAATCACTAAGTAGAAAAGGAGGCGCAGCAGCAGGCACCGCCAATCTTCAAGTTTGATACAGGAGGGTGAAAGGAGGAGCCTGTGCGGAAGAGCTTTGAAAAGCACTTTTCCTCCAGTTCAGATGATGGTGATAATGATTTGAATTCTCGGATATTATAGCCTCCCTTCAGCATCACTGATCCTCCTCACCAGTGCCCTCCTACACTGGCTGCTCCATGCAACCTCATCCAACGCCAACACCTTCTCATAACACAAGGGATGGCAATGGATACATTCTTCCAAGCTGAAAATATGAATAACATGTACAATGGAGTCTCAAAAATGAAGAAACATAAAATAGACATATAGCTAGATAAGAGGACAACAAAGCTGAACCATAATACAAACATTGAACTATTTAGCTTGAAAAATAGGTCATACATGTAGCAGGTGAATATGTTTATACATAACTTACAGTAAACATTGTGTGGGATAACTATAAAATCACACTTTTGTACAACCAGCAGACTTTATTTTCCAAAATAATCTAAATTTCAATGATCCAGATCTGACAAAACACAGCATCTCTTCACATTAAAAAAAGCTGCAACCAAAACACATGGACATTTTTGCTTGATTAGGAAAGTTGAATGACTAATAACAACATAAGTCATTTTTTATTGATTTAAGTTGAATCTTTGCAGAGAACTTTCATGTCTCACCTGTGCAGGTGTTCAGATGGGTCCTCCACACAGGGAAAGGTACTGCAACCTATTAATGCTCTGTCATTCAGTCTAATAGGACAAACGTGTCTTACCTGCTGTGATGCACAGTCCTGTATTCAGTAGTATATCTACTGAAATTAGACTATTCAAACCAAATACTACCGCTGAAGTAAAACCCCATCCTCAGAAAACTTTTAACTCTGAAGTTGTGTTATTTATTATCGCCCTCTAGTGGTTTCATGTGCGTTTGCATTTTAAAGGGTCACCACTGATTTCACCCATCAAAGTAATTGCCAGTTAGCCTATGTAAACAGTTGAGAAAAGTCTTCTGTGGCTCAGCAGGGAGCTTTCCAAAGTCAGAAAAGTAAACGCTATGATTACTGTGTACTGTAATCATGACACCTCGGCATGAGCTTAGAGGAAATCTTAGGAAGCTGGCGGCACAAACTGCGGGGAGTAGGAGAGATGTGTGTTTAGCAGGCACATATGGTCTAATGAAATATGCCTCAGGGTTGCATTATGGGACATGTAGGATCCAGTGTTTTTGGGATCGTACTCTTAAAATCAGGATGTCTCAGCCTCTGCTGCGATTTTTACTTTTCAAAAATAATTGTGTATTTGCAACAGCTTCATAGATGAACATGCATAAATCCACACTTTCATGCATTCACACAACCCCACAATTATTGACCTCCATGCCAAATTACAGACTCCTTGGGCTTTGTTGAGCCTCCATTTTTAAGATTGCTGCTTCCCATAATTATTTTACATTCAAGTTTAATACTTTGTAAGTCATGATTGCAAATACTGAAACACCACCAGTAACTATGTTGATCCCAGGGGATTTTGTGTAAAAACAATAACAGGTGCAAAGGAGGATTTTCAGTCAGATCCCTTCTTATCAAAGAGAAAACATTTTTATACTTCCTTTTTCTGTCTCTTTCTCTCTCAGCGTTTCCAATGTTCTGATGCCCTGACGACCCCGCAGCTGACCTCTGCTTCTGACAGCTCTCTGATGAGCAAGTGAGGATACTCAGCGCTCACACCAACACGGCCCAGATAAAAAGCCCTTCCTTCCTCCATCCTGGCAGCAGTTGCCTTGAAAAGACGCACACCTGCCAAAAAATGCCTCTTTGGTGCATGAAAAGCAGATTCACATTTCCTGGAAATGCCAATGGGGCTGGCATTTCCAAAATAACAGCAGAAATGCTAGAATAAGAGAAAAAGCAGTGGGCTTCCTGCTATTGTCTGAACATTTCTCGGGAAGTCACAATAAATGGTGTCAGCTTTTTCTAAATGATCTCTCACACTGTCAACACAACTGACTTTGCACTTTGATAGCTAGCTCGCTTTGGCAAATCAACATAATTCAAATTGTGCAATGAAACTAATCCCCAACAAAAATAAAGCGACAGCTGTTTGTTCAGATTTGACAGGAAATGCTGTTGAGAGCACCAGAATTTAATCACAGCGAGCTGATTAAAAGCAGGAAAATCTTCTAGTAAGCCCACTCCTTCTACCAATATCACAAATCCAATTCGATGCACAAATAAGTTGATTTACTGTGTTTCATTTATCTCATTGCACTGATGAATCCCTCTCTTCCTCCACCTCCTCCTCCTGCAGGCCCCCCCACTCTGGCCGGTGAAGAGCGTGTGCGCTGTGTGGGCCGCATCGCTCCAGAGCTTCTGTCTTGAACAGCGAGCATTAGTCATCCATGTTGGTGGATGAAGGGAACAAGTAGCTCAGGTGGGTGGAAGTGCCCTTATATCGGATCATAGAGAGGCCTCAAAAACAAAGGAACAATGCCTCTGAGATGAGAAGCTACAAGAGAGCAACATTTCTCTAAGCAGGGCTTCAAAAATAAATGCATTTTACTGCAGCTCATTCCTAACAAAGATAATATAAGAGTTCTCATTTAGCCATCATCTGTAATAATGTAGAGCCTCTAGGATGCAAAATGACACATTCTCTACTTGTATTAGGACACAAGTGCTCATAAATCCCCAATAAGTAGATACTTTGTATGTTGCTTGTGTTTAATCAAATGATTTGATTCCATGAGGCATCGTAGATATTTTACACACAACCGATATGCACAATGGTACCTGAATTTGAGAAATAAGGTCATAATTCAAGTTGTTACTATTTACCGTCTGCGACATACAAAAATAAATCAAGTATAAAAAAAAAAAGAGAATTCATACAGCTAACATTTACCATCCAGTGCTGCGACTAAAATATTCTGAAATACTCACTTGACTTGAATACATTTCCAAAAACACTAGAACGTAAGTTAGCATTTGTTTTGGCTCGACCCTGTGTGAAGAGATATACATGGCGACTCCTGTACACTGCTTTTAGAATTTGAGTTTGTGTTCAAAAAGAGCGAGGAGCAGAAGGCAGGCCCACCCCATCAGCAGGCCGAGGTTCTGAAGCAGAAACAGGAGGAACGGTCTGTCTGTCTTCACCCGATTCATCTCTGGAAGCTGGAAGAAAGACAGAAATGAGGTAATACACAATTATTTATTAAGAAATGATTGGTTAGAAAGAGGATTGTTTTTCTACAACTACAACTCTTAAGGGTTAAAGTAAAGGCTGGCATTACTTTAGATTGTTCTTATTGTCATGGTAGTCCGTATCTTAATAAACTAAATTGACACAGACCTCTGCTAAGGCCAATGCTGAATTTAAAGGGGCCCTATGATGGACATTTTCAGTTTCACCTATTCAATGCTTATATTTTCACGATTAATTCCACTTATTGTAGGTCGTATCGGATAAAAGCGTGAACTAAATTAAATGTAATGTAATGAATTTAAATGAGGTTTAAGACCAAATGTGGAATATTGATGTGACAAAGATGTGTCGATTTTTTTGTGTTGCTCAGAGGGATTCCAGTTCTTGCGTAATAGGAGCAAAGGAAAGGGATCAGTTCAATCAGGAAATGTGTGCCAACATTTTTTCCAATTGTTCTGACTTGAGTGGTTGTTCAATGGAGTATTTCCAGTCAAAAAAAAATATTTTTCAGCTCACTCCTACACCACATGAATGCAGCACAAAGGCCCTATTTCACAATCAAAATGAAATATAATGCGTGTGACCTGGTTGTGAATCAGTGCTCTAGTTGAGCAGCTAGGGAACATTATAGATCTACAGTGCAGTGGTGTAGCTCACTTATAGGTTCTAAATAGGCTGATGGCACAGAGGAATAAACCTTATCAGGATCAATTCATTGTTGGTTTTGGTCATTTTACGTACTTATGCCACAATAAAGCTCCTTTACCATTTCCACAAGTGACAAATAGAGGAAAATCCCAGCAGTAACAGCGAAGATCCACTGCTGCACTTCAAAATCGGAGGAAACGAACAGTCCGATGTAGAGGCCCATGAAGGCCGTCAGAGCGCTGAGAAAGTTCATGAGCACAGCAGTCTTCACCGAGAGTCCGGAGCTCAGCAACACAGCAAAGTCCCCTTTGGAGACAGAGCAGGAAAGATAAGTCACAGTGTTCCCTGGCATCAGCCCTAAAAAAAGAGGGGTTTGCAAAGTGAGTACCCGTGACCTCTCACCCATCTCGTGCGGGATCTCGTGGCACAGGATGGCCACGGTGGTCGCCATGCCGGTCTCAGCTGAAGAAGAGAAGGCTGCCCCGACAACAAGGCCATCTGCAAAGTTATGAAGGCTGTCTCCCACGATTATCATCACGGCCAGCAGAGGAACCCCCTGTCCTGGGAACACAAAAGGGAGTCTGTGTCATTACAGCTCATCCTCAGACCGTGACAATGGCTCGGTTATGCCAGGCGACTAATTACTAAGTGCATCAGATTTGGCTCATTTAGAGAAACGCACTCTGATGTGAAGGGCTCCTTGTGTTAACGTGTTCCGGAGATACTTCTGAACACTCCAAGTCCTCCACCGGCCCCTGCAGAATACAGAGAAGTAATCGTACAAATTAAATGAAGGAAGATGGATGTTACAAATTCGCAAAAACAGGATATATTTATGTAACAAAATGGTTGGAAAGTGGGTTCTTTATCATGTGAGTGGCTGTGTCTGAAACATTCTAGTTCAAGTTTGTATTTGCACACATCATGAGTGCTTTCTGAATGATTCAATATACTTCCATTCTCCAACATCCTACATTTACTGGTTCCTTCACTGCCCTCCCACACCCGCTCCATTACCCGCTTATATGAAAAAGCAACACAGGGACAGATTGATTTTAAATGACAGGTTATAGCCCAGTTTTTAAAATGTAAACATGGATTTATTTCTGTCCTCCATTATTTGTTTTTTGATGATTTAGTGGCAGCCATTTCACATCCATTTTATCGGGATTTTTGTGCTGTGCTTGCTATACTGCTATGTGTGCTGTTAGGATCGTGATGTAATTGAAGCGGTTTTTCAAACAGTGCCCTCTAGCAGAACTCCCTGTTTTAGCAACAAGCGCTTTCTAGTTCTGTCTTTGGATGCTTTGGTTGGAGGGGAGTAGTGTGGGAGTAGGCAGTTTATCATCAGGGCGAATGAAATATATTGACTTCATAACTACACAGTGGCACAGCACAGTAACACAATATTTAACCCAATGCTTTACCTACCGCTTACCAGGAACTGATTCTTGTTTTTTTAGGAGAGAATGTCATGTTATTGTTGAACAGTGGACCAATATATTATAATAGAACAATGGAATGATTCTCGTTGTTCAGGAGGAAACATAACACATAGAGGATTACAAAGGAATGTTATTAAAGCTAAAAGATTACTAACCTATCACCAAAAAACTAATAATAATAATATTAAGTTTATTTTAAATGTTTTAATTAATTTTAATTATTATTGCTTTCAACTAACCTAATTACAGTGTTAAAAATTAAAAAATATACTTCTCCTTTAGCCACTTTGCAGCAGTAATATTTAGTGTTTAACTTCAAGGAACTGCTGTGTCATGTTCCCTGCATCTTTTCCAACTAAATAAATAACAAGGGATGATGACGGGGAAACAGGTTTCTTCCTGCCAAGTAAAATAATAAAAAAACAAAGCAGTTCACGTGTGGTGAACTCACCAGCTGTATGGTGGAGATGGATTTGCCCCTCTGGATTGGCCGTTGTAGTTGAGGCTCTAAGGGCAGATCACTATGACCCTGTGGACAAAAGAAAGTCATGAGGACCACCGTTTCTCGACAATCAGCTCTGCAAAAGTTAAGTTCAGATTCGGGCACAAACTTGCTTGTTCATGGGAAAAACTGTAAAACTTCCACCTCTGGATAGATAAAAAAAATCAACATCGCCTTGCCTTTCACCCCCCATGGTTTGATTTGAGTATCTGTTTTATTACCAAGCAAAAAGCTGCAAAACTCATGGCCATTGAGAAGGAACAAAAAGGAAAGGATTCTTTCAATGAGGAAAAAGCCAATAAATCCCAGCAATAATTTTCCCAGAATCCTCCACAGATAGTCCTTCCCTTCCTGCATAAGTGTTCGTCGTCTGGTGGCTGTGAGTGATCATCATGGAGGCCAAGGAATCTCAGAGGAGACGGAGAGGAAACCATTAGACATTACTCCTCAGTCAACAGGGTTTCTTCTATACACTCACGGCACTTGACCTCTGTTGTCCTTACATGTGGTATGAGGTGCAGGAGGCTTGGCGGGTTAATAATGATTAAGCAGGGTTGTTTTTATTTCCACTCCTGAGAAAATGGAATCTGATACCGAGTTTAATGCACGAAAAGGTATTTTTTTATCGGTCGGTCCAACATTATATTAAAGTCACTACGTATTACTTTATCCTGTTTTATTTTACCAAGTTGATATAGTTCTGATAAAGGATTGGTAAATAAGGCTGGTTGCAGGGTGGTACCATGTACATTCTAACTGAATGGATCGAACTGACAATCAATCGACCGACTGTGTTTATATGATTTGATTCTGAGATGTAAATGAGTGGCTTTTTGGTATATTGGAAAATATATTGGGTTTTGGCCAATACCTATTAAATGTCTGTGAGTTTCTTTTTGTTTTTAAATACAAATACATCTTTTTTGTTATT